CTTCATCCCACTGGTGCAGACTTTCTAGCTTTCACCTCTGCCCTTTAGGCCTTCTTGGTGCAGATCCTTGATCCAGACTTGCTGGAGACATTGCCGTGGGCTCTAGGCCTCCAGCTGGACTCCCAGAGAACATTGCCACGGGCTCTAGGTCTTCAGCTGGACTCGTGCAGGACATTGCTGTGGGATCCAGGCCCTCAGCAGGATTCTTTCAGTCTCTAGTGTGGGAACAGATCTTTTGAATTCTTTTGTATTTGACTTTTTGGGTAAATATAAGATGCTCTTATAAATTATGTGTCCTGTATTAAATTATTCCCTTGCAAACCCTGACTACAACAGCTTGGGTTGTAACTTGGTGATACAGTGGCCTTGAATTCAGTGCTCAATGCCACAAGAAGTGTCATTGCCTTATAATATTTCTTGGAAGAGTGTCTCAGTTACTTTTCTCTCATTGCTGGGACAAATACCCAACACTCAAAATGAAGGAGGAAGCGGAGCAGTCTGTGAAAGTGGCTTCCAGCTGTTTAGAGACCCTGGTTCAGTCCTAGACATGCTGGTGCGCATTGGGGGTCTGGTGGTGCTGAGTGGAGGTGGAATGGGAGGAGTTACAGGCAAGACGTGTGTCCCATGGGCTGCACTAACGTTAGGACCACGTCCTTGTTGTTCCCCAAACACCCGCTCTCCTCTCATCCATTTCTTGGCCAACAGCTCTCCCTCCTGGGCATGGTAGCACGTGGTGCCACCCACAGCTCACATTTATAAGCCTCGAAGCCCCTGGGTTGAGCAGAGAGGAGTCTGTACACCAGATCTGACCTCCTTTCGAGTGCTCCTGCTTTTCTGGTTTTATTCTCTTTTTTTTTGGTTTTATTTGCTTCACTCTTGCAATGGAAACAGCCAGGAGGAATTATTAAGTGGGCCAGACAGAAAGGGGGAGGGGTTTGTGCACAGGTGCAATCAACAGAAAAAGTGCCCGGGTCATCTTCAGGGGCTGCCCGGGAAGCAGGAAGCATCTGCTCACCCATTTCTTTCCTGTCTTTTACCCTCCTCTCCACTCCAGGTGCCTTTCTTTCTCTAAAAATAATAATCCCAAATAATTCGCCTTCAGGCACTGTCACCAACCAGAACTGCCTAGCTAGCTGGATCAAGAGAAAAGTGTAATTATGAATTTAAAATTAGAAATCTTAGTCACGGGACACCACACCTCTAATCTCAGCACTCCATGAGACTGAGGCAGGAGGATTTGAATCCAGTCTGGGCCCCGCTTCAGCAAGATCTCATGATAAAATAAAAGGACTGGGACCGTTGTTCAGTATGAGGGCCCTTGGAGTCGATCTCCAGAGCTGCAAAACCTACTTTGGGACTTATTTTGGCAGTTAGTAGTTGTAGAGTGGTGACCAAATGAAAAATTTAAAATTATCTCATGTGAAAGTTCACTTCTCCAGTAACAAGCACCAAAGTTTGCATAATGTGAGGACTGGCTTAGTCAATTTTAAAAGTGTTCCTGGACTCATGACTTGAGAGAAAGATCCTGTCCTTAGTAAAATACACAATGCACACAGTTTGCACAGTGCTAGCAGTTTTTCATTAAAAGTTGGTTTAGATAAGGTTTAATTTATAAGTTACTCTGAGGAATCATCTGTGATGACAGTTACTTAAGCAAACGTGGCACAGCTTTAATACAGGGTTTTACTTACCTTTTCCCCCCAAAATGTATTTATTTCAAGAGCCCGTCAGCCTGTGTGCGCCAGACGTTACGTTTATGCTGGTGTGGAGCACATATGCACAATGTATCTGCCTGCTTTATTTATTCCCTTTTATTTCCCTCCACACTCCCTCCTACCACCTTTAAAAAAATTGTGTGTGTGTGTGTTTTTTTTTTTTACTTTTTATTCTTTAAAATTTTAAACATTTTTATTAGTCCATGTGTGCTTCCACTGCTTGTGTGGAGGGGGCTCACAAACACAACATACTCTAGATTTGCTTTATCCCTTCTCCTGGCCCGCCCTTCTCTCAATCCCCTCCTCCTCTGAGACCCAGCTCCCTGCTTCGCATTGCCTGTCCTCTGCCTTGCTCTTTATTTAGAATTTCTCGTGTAAGAAAATCAATGGGATATTTCAGCTTGCATGTGTGATTTATTTCACTTAGCATTGTGGTCTCAAGGTGAGTCCATTTTTCTGTAAATGAACTCAAGTTTATCTTTCTTTATAGCAGAGTAGTACTCCATTATGCACTAATACCATGTTTTTAAATCCATTCTTCTGTTAAGAGATGTATAGGGCACTTCCAAGAACTTGGCTGTTATGCTGTGCTGCTCTGAACGTGGGTGTGCGTGTACTTTCTATTAGTGTGGGAGACTTTATCAGGAACCTGCTGGAAAGACTAATTGATGAGGGGAGCTCAGTAAGTGCTTGTCTGATTCTTTTTGTGGAACAGAAAAAACTTTAGTCAATCGCTGTTTGCATACTCATAGACGTTAGTTTTCTTATCCACTTACTATTTCCTTATGGCTCTGTTTCCTCAGCCCTGCCATTGCTTTCTGTCAAGTCCTAGTGCCTTCTCAAACTGTGGTCCCTGGACCAGCAGCTGTGTCACTTCTCGGGCCCCAGCCTCGCCTCCCGAATCAGAAGCGGTGCTCAGCGTCACTTGTGTCTCAGAGAAGCACTCAACTGCTGGCTCAGAATCGGGCCCTCTTTCCTGGGTGAGGTCTCACTCCTGACTCTTACTTCAGCTCTTGCCTCCTAGTCCTGAGATCTGAACTGAGTATCTCCAGCCCCACCCAGCTGTTGCCTATCTCTAAGCTTCTGCTGTGCTATTTATTCCCTTTACCTGGAATCCAGTCCTCCTTTCTTGTCTTTCTAATGCCTACTCTGTAAGACCTGCAGGGACACTTGCACTTGTTTGTTCATCTCTTTATTCCATCCTTCTATATGCATTTATTGGATACCTACTATATACTAAGCACTGTTCCAGGAAAATCCCCACCACATACCTCTGTCATTGATTTATTAGGCTGTGTCAGTATTGCTGTGACAGGAGCTACGAGGGCAGGGAGCTCACCATACTTTTCTTTTGTCCCCTGCCCTAGCTTTATCTGGTCTATGATAAAGCTAAGTGTCTTGCTGGACTGAACTATGTCCCTTCGTGGAGCTAGTGGTAGGACCTGGACCACCACAGGTGATCTCTGAAGTTGTTCTGGAGCCCAGGGGTTCACAGGCCACACCCAGACGCTCACCAGTGGGCTGCCCTCTTGTGCCCTGGCCAGTGGCAGTAGTGACACAATTCCGTACTCATGGACACGGTGAGCAGATTTGGAAGCTGAGAGAGTTGCAGCAGGAAGGGACCAACCCTTTTCAGAGAACTGAGACGGTGGTCATCGCGGGAGGCACAGCAGGGCCTGTGGTGGTGGCCTCTGTGCCAGTCGTCCCCAGACATCCCCACATCAGTCCCAATCTGAGCTGCTTATCATTGTCGTTCCTGTCCACACAGGTTCCCACACCCAAGCTCTTTGCTTGCCACTGACCAAATGTATTTGGTCAGTGGCAAGCAAAGAGGGGACCATTTATTTGGGTTGTTAAAAAGGAATAAAGAGTTTATTAAAAGCTAGCCCTGAGGAGGTGAGGGGCCATGCGCCTCAGCTCACCAGCTCACTGTATACAGGTGGGCAGGGCCTTTCATAGGAAGGAGCAGAGGAAGGGAATCAAGGACACTGCAGATCCCTACACTAGCTCTATGGCTCCCAGCCTCCTGGGCCGGCATCTGCATGTTCTGTCACTGACTTGGGGCTGCAGAGAGGAAAGGTGGTGACTCCTGCTTAGCAAGAAGAAATTTAGAGAAGTTGCTCAGCTCTGAAATAAAAGGCCTAACATTTCAAGCTCCGTTTTGCTCTGCTGGCTCCATTGAATGCGCTAATGACCACAGCTGAGTTTCCCCTGGTGCTTGGCGAGATGCAGTGTGGGCAGTCCCATTGGCACTGACTAGGGAGGGGCTGTCTGATGGTGCTCAGGGGTGATCACGGCTAGGATCTGGCAGTGGTGAGCAGGGGCAGTGTCAGGACATTCCTTGCATGATTAGGAATAGATGAGGCCAGTTGGGTAAGTCAGTCCCTGAGAGGTGGGCGCTCATTTGGAGCCTGGACCACAGGGCCAGTCTGCCTAACTCCAGACCGCAGCCCTGTCCATTGGCAGTTACGTGATCTTGAAGTCAGAATCTCCACGCTGCAGTTTCCATGGCAAAGTGAGAATAACAGCAGAGCCTAACCTTCTGAAGGGTAAACACCTTAGCGTTCATCACATTTCAGAATACTGCCTGGCCAGTTGGAAGGACTACGGTGTTCAACATGTAGGAAATGTGAAGTTGCTTGGAAATGCAATTCAGTGCCTCCTTCTCTTTCCATCACGCCAGTAGCCATGGAGCTAGTGTTTCTGATCCTTGTCAGTGTTTTCCTGGATCTCTAATAGGAGGGTGTACAACTTTAAGCAGTTGAGCAAAGGCTTAAAAATGAGCAAAGGGGACACAGCTGCTTTGCTTTTGAAAGGATTTGCCAAGCTCACATAGTTAAATTTAATGGCTGGGTGTTTTAAACCCTGGAGAACAATGTAATTTCTGTCATTACTGCTACAAAGGATGACTCTTTGGTGAGCGTTTCATTTGGGCTGCCTAAAAACCTAACTTGAACAAAGGAAGGAAAAACAAACATAAATATAGTAATGGAAAAACTCTAATTAGGCTTTGGGGGAAGATTGTCCAGTCCTGTCACGTCTCCACAGGACTGAATACAAGTAACTTTGAGGCCTGCAAAGTTATTTTTCTCAGCAAATATTTTAATTTTTAAAATAGTATTTTTAAAATGTTACTTATGGGGGTTGCTTATGAGTTTAGGAAGCAGTGGTTTCCTGGGTCGCTAATAGGAGGAAGAATACAAAGAAAAGAGGGAGGCATGGAAACTATTGATAGAGGGGAAAGGTAACTTCCAATCTGCTAGATGTCTGTTTTTTTTTTTTTTTTAAACAAGAAATGTTCTTTATTTGTACAAAGCATTATAATCTCAACAGTCATCAGTCACTTATGAACAAACTTTGCATTTAACAAGTTAACAGTGTCAAACTACACTATACCTGTCAAATCCCGAGTGCTCAACTGAGAGAGAAAGGCGCCTAGAACACTAATTGGAAAGAGAAAAGGCTAAGAAAAGTTCACAGACACTTTAGAAGCAGCTCGAGGGGATGGCCAGGCTAAGGGGTTAGATTCCTGAGCACCATCAGATTTTTCTCAATATTCAGAGGACTTTCACAAAATCTTTTTTATTTTGAGAAAGGGCCTTGCTAAGTAGTTCAGCCTGCCCTTGAACTTGCGACAATTCCCCTGCTGCAGCCTCCCAAGTGCTGGCATTACAGGTATGTGCCACTACGCTTGGCTCACAAAATCCTTTTTAGGCCACAGATCAGAATTAAGGAACCTGCATTTTGGGATATGAGCATATGTTCAAAGTTGCTAGATTTGCACATGAATTAGAAAGGGAGAGCAAGTGGGAACAGAAAGCAGAGGACAGGAAGACAAGAAATAGAAAGCAAGAAGCGCAGAGGGAAAATGTTGTGCTTGGATGGAACAAAGCCCTTAACTTGTAAGGAATAAAAATGAAAAATCATAGCCACAAGTCTGGGAGATGGACCTAATAAGAGCTAATAAGCCTCAGATTTTACACTTTTCAGGAGGTGACAATAAATTCTAAACTGTACCGTGGCAGGGGTGAGGTAAACCTAGGAATAAGTCATCTGTTTTGTAAAACATTCTTGTTTGTTTGATGACTTCCAAAGTACACTGCTAACTTAAGAGCACACTGTGCCCAGAGCGCAACCACCCGCACAGGTCAGATGCCTACAGGCAACGCAGGAAGGCCCAAAGCCAGGTAGTTTTAGAGAAAATTGAACTCAATTAATGCTGTCAAGTGAAAAAACCATAGAACAAATTATCTTTAAAAACAAAAAAAAAACAAACCCCACAGTTGTGAGGGAATTCTAAGCTACATACCCAGGCTCTTTTATCTATTTTTGGGGTCGGGATGACAGGGCCTCATTGAGTTGTTCAGATTGGGCTCAAAACTCTTTAATTCTCCTGTCTCAGCCTCCCACACAGCTGAGATTACAGGCATGTCATGGGCAGCCCATTCTGAACATTCTTAATAAGCTACTGTGAATCAAATATGGCTGACCACGATCAAAGTTCTATTTTTTCCTGAGCCTTCACTGCCTCTGTGATCTGGACCATAGCAGGCACCATGGAAGTTATTTTTTTGAAGGGGCAGGAAGACTGGTGATTAAAAAAAGTATATCACCATACACATAAGTAAACAAAATAACACATTGCTAATTGAATTAGCTGTTCAGAATCCCTCTTGCCAACAAAGTTATAACCTTCAAACTGATTAAACAAAAGAGGATTCTGCTACTCAGAAGCTCTGAGTCAGTGAAACGCTGGTTTTGATGATAATTACAGTCAGTTTTTACTCTGATCTCCCAGGCACCTGTGCCTAAGACTACTCTGCCCAGCAGGGAAAAGCATCACATAAACATACACCATGTATCAGCGTGGTGGCTTCCACAGTGCCACAGTCTATATTAGTTGTCTACTTCCTCCTCTTCATTCTGTTCTTCTTCTTCCAGCCTTTCTTCATCTTCATCATTATCCTCATCCCTGCTCCGGTCTTGCTCTTCTGAATCTGTTTTTCTGTCTTTGTCCTTCTTCTTCTGTTCTGAAGCTTCCTTCTTGCCTTTCTGCTCCCGCCTATATGCTTCCAGAGCTTCTTTCAACGGAGTAATAAACCGCTGGAACTCCATCTCTTCCATGGCCGAGAGCACATCACTGGCATTGAGTGTCTTGCGTTTCCCTTTCATCGCGAAATTGTTGGCACAGGATGTGGCGTACAGCACAAAGACGCTGGCTGCGCGGGAGATTGCGCTCCTGGCCTCCTTGGAGATGTTGACACCATCTGGGAGTGCTTCTTTGATGATCCTGGTAATGACGGCATTGGGCAGGTTTAGGTCCTCGGGCCTCTCAGCCATGGCCAACGCAGGAGCCCGAGGCTCGGCTGCCACACAAATCCTCTTCTGCTTCCTAGTCCAGACTTCCCGCGTCACTGCGATGTGACCCTCTGGGGCACCCGTCCAGCCCCACGTTGCCCACACTGTCCCATACTGCCCTGCGCGTCATAGCCTCTTTTTAGTATCCAGCCCCGCCTCCTGCTAGATGTCTGAAATGCTAAATTCATGATATCTAAAATCGAGGGCTGAAGGGCCGGCCAGATAGCTCAGTAGACCGAAGTGCCTGCTTAGGCAGAGCACAGGGGCTGGGGTTTCATCCCCAGCACTACAAGCCCTGCCGGTACCACCCCCAGGGCACGCTGAGCTGGCCATTGAGACTGGGTATGTGGCTGTGCCTGTAATCCCAGCGCTTGGGAGGCTGAATACAGGAGGATCATTCCGAGTCCGATCTGTGTAGTGAGACACTGTAGACCCTGCACTAAAAATACATTAAAAAAAAAAAGAAGGAGGAATAAATTCTAGGGATAACAGAGATTAAGATCAGGATAAATTTATTGAGATAAAGCTTCTGCCTAAGAGAGACAAACTGAGACCTGAAAAGTGGATTGCCCCTGCTCACCTCTTAAAGGAAATTTTATAGCAAATCATGAGGTAGGTACAACATGGGTCAACCAAAAGGATTACAAGTAAAGACACTCAGGTAATATTGATCCAGTAGTGGCAAGGGCATATAGATGACATCACTAACCTTGGTCTATAGCCTGTAATCATTTTTTTAATCGTAATCTTGTCCTTAGCCTTAGTGTTAGAGGATGGTCCATCCCTAAAGAGATGGGAAATCTCAAAAGAGTAGTACTACTAACATCAAACTCTCATGTAGCCCCCAGGAGAGTATGTAAATTGGTCCACTGTGACTATAATCTTTGAATACATCTCCAGCCATCCTTGGGTTCTCATCTTGTGCACATGGAGCAGCAATGCAATTGTCAGGAGTCAGGTACCTGCTCCTTCGAGGGTCTAACGCTGTCTCACTGCCCACAATGTTTCTACCTAACTTAGCTATCTATAATACTGCTATTACAAGATTTTGTTGCATGCTTCATTTTCAATATCACTTCTACTGTTCTCCAAACTTTGTAAAGGAGATATTTGCCTGAGGTTGAGACAGGAGGATCTCTGCGAGTTCAGGACCAGCCTGGGGGCTACAAAAGTGAGCACAAAGCCAGCCCAAACTGCATGGCAAGACCCGGTATCAAAAAAAGGAGATATTTGCTGTTTACAAGAGAACCCTGAGGCTTAAGTACCATGACCACAATCATACTGATATAAGAGAAATATAATTCCCAATCTGCTATATGCCAAGTATACCAAGTTTGTGGTCCTGTAACATCAAGGAATGAAGTTGTAAACCAAAAAAAGAAGTTAGGAAAATTTTTTAGCAATAATGAGAGAAGAATAGCTCCTGGATTTCCAGAAGGGTTCTCAAATGGGTGGACACTGAGGCCCTTTTTCAGGAGCAATTTATACAGCAAAGTGGGCACAGTATGAGTCAAACTACAGTCTATGGGGGTATGATATTGGTCTAACTACAACCAACCTATAGAATTATAAGTATAGCTGCTTAGCTAACCTTGAGCCAATAGGGAAGCAATGTAGCAAGGGTACAAGGAAAGAACAAAGGCATTTGGGAAGGGCTGGGTCCAGATGCTCTCTACCTGGGTGACTGACACTTAGCTGGATTTAATGTACCAGGTGGTGCTTCTTACAGTATAATGTCAGGTTATTGTTTATCCCTTAGGGAGGCTTGTAGGCCTGGCCACTGCATCTTCATCTGGAGGCCTGGCCACTGCAGATGTTCCTCCAGCCACAGTTCTGATGTCTTTGTTTTCAAATGACTTACTTAAGAGCCCAGTCTCTTTCTAACTGTATGTTGATTTCCATGTAGCTTAGCTGCCTATCATAATACAACCATGAAATTAGGGAGCTCTATGTTGGCCTGGCTCTAAAATGTACATGCACCTCAAAGTTCTGGGTGTTTTTAAATGGGAAGAAATCAGGCATATTTGTATCTCTTCCATATTTTCTGGGAATTAAATATTTCTGAAGATCAGACATACTGAATGTTTTATTTCTTCTTATATTTCAAATAGATTTTGTTTTGCTATAGTCTTTGCCTTTCTTTTTTAAAAATAATTTTATTGAGAAACAAATGGCAATGAGACAGTTTCAAAACCGATCAGTAGGACAGTTTCAATAATATATATATTGCACATTGTTGTCTCAGTGGTTATTCACTGTACAAGATGCAGACATGACATCCCATCCACAAACACTATTAGAACAAATCTTATTCATTGAATTAAGAGAATGCAGCTGTATATCTATCCTATTTTGAATATACAGATACAAAATGGTCATTCATTTTTATCCCCTTTTTTTGTTTAGGTTTGTCAGAGAAGGGTACTTCATTGTCATTTAAATATTGTAGGTACCTGAATTCAGTAAAATATTCCAATATAGTCCAATAGTCCATAATAGTAGTGGGTTATCTGCAGGACTGGCAATGTCAGAAATTGTTGACCTGAGCCCTTCACAGCCCAGCATACCAACATGGTATCACCCCTTATACCTCGTTTTTATACCTTTCTGCTGCATGGTTAAGACCAAGACAAAGCAAGACCTATATAACAAGAAATGTAACTTTTGTATCTGATAAGGTTAGTCACGTCCCCTCAGGATTTATCCTGTAACCCTGTACCGCACTTTGTAGATCCTTTGTCAGTGTCAGCCATGTGGATAAGTCACTGCCATTGCTTGACCAATTTGCTTTCTGTGAAATCCTGAGAGAATGTTTTCTTTCTATGTGACTCTCTTTAGGCACACTCTACATCATTGATCATGTTGCTCTGTGGCCCCAAAATCACCTTGATCAGAAAATTTGGGACACAACTGGGTTACATGATGTTACAGTATAAGTTCTCCTATGTTCTGAGTCTTTATTGACCTTGAAAGGCTAGGTCCAAAATGTTGGCTGACCCATACTTTTCTCTAATTTTTGGTCTACAAACTTATGCTGTTAACCCTCCAGAAGAGAAGCTTATTATTACCCTATAACATATGCAGTTGGTTTTAACCTCACTATCTGTCTGAATATCAAACATCTTAGGCATAACATGGAACAGGTATTTTCCATCAAGTGTTGATATGTTAAACTTTAAGTCCCTATAGAATATGAAGAAAGAAATTAAAAAAGTAAAAAATATTTTAAAATATGAATAAACAATTACATATTTTTACACAGAAATTTAGAAATCTAACCTTGCACAGCATTGTAGCAGGACAGTCCTGTGACATTTCTTTTTCTTGTCTTTGTATCTAACCATTAGGGCCCCAAAATTTAAAGACCCAATCCAGAAATGGGCAACCAGGATGAACACACATTTCTCAGAGGATGTAATTAAAGAAGTGAATAAATATATGAAAAAATGTTCCACTTCACTAGCCATCCATGAAATGCAAATTAAAATAACACTGGGATGCCATCTCACCTCAGAAAAAAGTCGCTGTCATAAACAAATCGCTGTCATAACAACAAATGATGGAGAGGCTGTGGGGAAAAAGGAACACTTCTTCACTGCTGGTGGGAATGTGGACTGGTTCAACCATTATGGAAATCAGTGTGGAGACTCCTTAAAAAGGTAGGACTGGAAATCCCATTCAAGCCAGCTATCCCCCATACTGGGAATTTTCCTGAAGGAACTGAAAACATCATATCATAGTGATATATGTGTACCTATGTTTATAGCAGCACAATTTATGATAGCCAAATCTTGGAAACAACCAAGATGCCTGTCACCTGAGGAATGGATGAAAAAGATGTGGTATTTTTATGCAATGGAGTATTACTTAGCTATAAAGAATGATAAACTTGAAGCATTTATATTGAAGTGGATGCCACTTGAAGATATACTCATAAGTGAAATAAACCAAACCCAAATGTGTAAATATTGTATAGTCTCCCTAGTATAAGAACTCAAAAGAAGAAATACAAATAGAAAGGTATAACAATTAAAAGGAAAGGGAAAACTTGAGGATTAGACAATGAAGAGAGGACAAGGAGAAAAGCTAGGAAACATGACAGGGGCAAAGCCATATATTTATACATACAAGATGGGTAAGACAATGATCCTGAGAAACATCAGCCGGTTTTTGAAGCTAGCAGTTAATTGGTAAGATTCTCACCCTGACTAACTATATATGCTGATATCTGTGAACTAAGCAACTGCACTGAAGATAGCAATGTGTAATAGTAGGGTCATGCTTGGAATGTCTGTCATTCTGGTCTTCTAAATATGTACTGCTTGTCATGACATACCAATTATTGCCACACTGTCTCTCAAGTAAATGTTTGTTTTTTTAAAAAAAGGGTAATAAATAGTCTTTGCCTTTTAATGGCCACCATGGAAAAGAACTTGCTGATAACAATGACAATGATTGAAAGCCACAGTGATAACAATCCTAAGCCTTGACAAGGACCGCAGAAGGTAAAACAATCGACGGGTGACCTTGCCTTGGATTTCCTTGATTTCTGCATGTTCAAGTAAGAATCCATCAGCTGGACAAAAATCAGAATCTTGTGCTAAAGTTCCGCAGAGACAGTGATTGTCAAGGCTGTTACTCCCAAGAGGAGGCGGCTTATCACCTTTCCATTCAAGATAAGCAAGTCATTCCAGCCAAAAGCTGCCTAGGAAGGGTTTGTTTACTTGGGGACACACACTTTGTAACACAGTTTCTGCTACTACTGCTCTCTAGTTTGAGAAATCGCTTACTTCAGAGAAGACACGAAACCATTCCATTTCTCTCTCTCTCTCTCTCTCTCTCTCTCTCTCTCTCTCTCTTTCTTTCTTTCTTTTTTTTTGCTCCAAATGCCTTTCAGGGCAGATTTAGCTGGCTTGAGTTGTGGGGATCGAACCGCAGCAACCTGAGCCTGACTGCTTTGTGGAAGCAGCCAGTTAAAGAACTGAACTAAGAGGCAGGCCCCCTTATTTTTCTTTTTGACACTGAGCCAAGCAGTCAACTGAGTCTGCAAAGTCAACTGCAGAGCACTTCCTTTTAGTTGCTGTTGTTACCGAGTCAAAAGGATTAGTATGTGTCTGGGTATCTGTGAGGAAAGATTCCAAGCTTTCACTA